CCCCCCCCCCCCCCCCGAGTCCTGCAAGGGTGATTCTATCCGACCTAGGAAATCATGTTTTTCAACAGGCTCTGTCTTCCGACATCAAAAGCGTTCTATGAGCACACTTTTTGTCACAGACAGTCTCCTTGATTGGAGCGTAACCTATATAATCGTTTTTTGGTCCAATGACCTTAACAAAGAGACCCCGTGTATGGGGAATTCATGGACAGAACAGTGTCTGAATTTTTAAGCAGGGACCACTGATAATTTAGTACCGTTCCCTCACCTCCCAAGTAAATGAGGGAACTGAGGCCCGAGCGTCGGGTCCCCGCACCCTCCAGTGGTGCCGTGAGGACCAGGGCTTGTCCTGACCCGCGTCCAGCTCCACCTGAACTCGAATCTTCTCCAGGGAGTATTTTGAAAACTATTCTATCTCATGAAGCTACTCTACGTCTGAACTGTGTGTGTGTGTGTGTGTGTGTGTGTATATATATAATTTCCCCCCCCCCAAAGGACATATATTTAACATTAGACTTGAAAGCTGTCATCCAATGAGAAACTCATCTACAGACAAATCAGTCATGAGCATTCTTCATCTCTTCTGGGGCTCCTGTTCCAGAGAGAAAACTCCTTGAGTACCACCGTGCTTCTGCCTTTTGGAAATTAGTACATAGGTTTCCCAGACTAATTCATATCTTTCGTAAAGTATCTCAGGCACAGGGCTGATAGGAGAGCTGATGTCACTGGCATCCTCTTCTGAGACAGTTCAGATTGTGTTCACATTAACAAGATACGAAGTTACAGGCGCCGACCTCACGTCAAGATGAAACCTGTCTCTAGCGTCCAAGGCAGCAAGTACACATGACATGCGGAGCCCTGGGAGGTGGTGGGGTGTCCTTGGTAGAGAATAAAGCAGGTTATCGGCAGAGCTGTGCCTTCTCCAAGGAGAAACACCGAGAGCACCCTGAAGACTACCTGTGTGCAGCGATGTTTACCGGGACGGTCGGGGGAATGATTCACATAGCCTTTTCCAAAATAAGCGATGTACTTAATAGTCAGGACATCAGAGACGATGTGAACATTTGTAGTTGAGGAAGACTGGCAATCCGTAACCTGCAGACTGGTGGCTTTCTGGAGATGGATCCCACCTCACCCCCAGGACACCACCCCAAGCCTCTACTTCCCCTGAGAGTAAGAACTCCTCTTCCTGTGTTCCCGGTGCCACCGGCCCTCCCTGAGCACCCCCTGCAGGCTAGGGAGGGGGCTGAAGACACGCCTCTCATCCATCTCTGAGTCCCCGGGGGGAGCAACACACAGCACAGGTCAGGTTCGAAACCTGCCCCGTGGATAAGCAGGATGGTTTGCATAAAAGCTCGATTCAAGGGGCCTGTCGCACTCCAAAGAAAAGGAATAGACAAAAATATTAATTACATTTTCCTTTTAATAAGGCTTTTTACTCAAAAGTGTAGCTTTGAAAATCTCTAGCTTGTTGTGACAACCAGAGAAGCCAGGAGCGGCCTTGCCTTGAACATGGTGCCCTCGCAAGCTCCCTGGCACCAGGGCTGGAGGGCAAATGCACCACTTTACAATCAGAGCCAACATTTAAAATTAGGAGGAGGATGCATGTCCTACTTGGATTCAAGGAGAAATGACAAGTTCTCAATACAGTAAAACAAAACACAAAAAGTAAACAAATCTTTAGAAATCACTAGATGTGTGTGTGTGTCTGTGTGTGTGTGTCTGTGTATTTATATAATTAGGATTATCATCAACATTTAAAACTATTAAAAATAAGGTTGCCACCTTACCTTTTCTTTTGGTACTGGGGTGTTTTTTTTTTTAGGAAATTTTTTTTTTTTTTTTTTGGCCCAGCCTCTCAAGTTTCCTAACCTCAAGCCTGTTTTCCACTGTTGCAGCCAAATGCCCCACCTTCCCACTGCACCCCCAGAGCACCACCGTCAAGCCCCGCTGGCAGGAGGCAGGGCAGGCTTTGATTCTGGCTGTCAAGATGACAGGCCCACAAAAGCACAGCTGACAGAGGAACTGAATTCTTCCCCAGGAAGAAAATACATTTGCCCGCAATGGGTCTGCAAAATCTTCCGAGGCACCTCTTTCCCCTCTGTGCTCTGCTTGATAACTTGTTTGTTTGGCCAAGAAGCAAGATGGCAATCTTAATCAGAAAGGGAAGCTAGATTTTTTAAATAACTTAAAAAAATCATTTTTATATAAAGCAGCAAAAACATATTTTCCTCTCTGCAGAAAGAAAACCGTGAACAAGGAAACACAGCGCTGTAAACGGGGCCGTTCATACACTTCTGCTAAACTGGGTCCCCCGAGAGACTCATAGCTACTTTCCAACTTCCTCGGCGCTGTCGGAAGAAGATTCTTTGGCGTCTCCGGTCGCTCTTTTACTTTCCTCTTGATTTAAACTTTCCTTTTCTGAACTGGTCCCGTTGGGTATAGAGTTTTCGCCGTTGACCAGCCCGTGCTCTGCAGCCTTTGCCCTGCGGACAGCCTCAGTGAGGGTCAAGGCCTCCTGTGCGCCGGCCTCCCCGTCCGGGTCCCTGAGGACCAGGGGCAGCCGCGAGTCCGCCACACCCTCCAGCAGCCCCGGGTTACTCTCCTCGTACTTGGGGAGCGGGGCGTGCCCCTCCACCTGCCTGCGGCAGTGCTCTCGGTTCGCGGCCGCGCTCTTGATCGCTTTTTCCAAGATCTCTTTCTCACCTAAGCGCAACTTGACGGCCATCGTGGCACGAACGGAAAGGGCGTGGTTTTTCAAGAAGGACTTATCTTCCTGGAACAGGAAACAGAGCAAAATTAACTATAGCAAGTCTAAACCAGCAAAACGATAGTGCCAGAAGGCAGATCAGTTGCTGCCGGGGACAAAGGCATGAGAGAAATTGGGGGCGGGAGGGAGGGGTGACAGAAGGTTCTGGAACTTGACTGTGGAGGTGGCTGCCATGACTGCACGCTTAAACCCAAGCCTATGCTTCAGAAGTGTGAATTTTACTCCAGGTAAATTATACCTAAGTAAATGATTATAAAACAAAAAAGAAGAGCCTAAATCAAATGGTGCGTGGACACTGACAGAACTTCACTTATTTCTAAAACCCTTCTGTCTTGTGCCCTGATGGAGCCCAGGGCTCAGCACTTGGCTGAACGATGGCTGAATGACAGGTACTTGAAGTCAGTGACCCAAGAGTAAACTGGTGTTTGTATCATATGAATTAGAAATTATGGAAAAATGTTAAATAATGTAAAAAATGTATATTCTAAACAACAATGTGCCTCAGTGTGACTCTTTTGGTAGGGGTAAACATGTAAAATATTAATAAGTTTAATGAAAAATGTCAAATACACAATGATTTTGCTAAAGCATGACAGTAATTTACATTTAAGAAAGAATCTCTTATTAAACATCTTTTAAAACATGACAAAGCACAAATCCTCCCTTAATCAACAGAATTACCTCAATGGTTGTTTTATATGTTTTTAAAAGAAGTGAGGCTCGATCTTCAAGAAATGTCCACAGTCTGACCTCATTGTCCCAGCTGACGGGGTACTCAGAGCTCCCCAAGGTGAAGATCCTGTCAATGGCAGCATCTCCCAGCAAATGTCCTTTCAATTCTTCTACAAGAACACAAACAGCCACCTGTTAGCGGACACAGCCCTGCTTCTCATTTTACCCAGCGACCCGCCTCACAAGACATCTTTCCCAACAATGTCATCTTCCTGTGGTGAAGGGTTCTCCTTGATCAATCAGCAAGGCCATGGCTAGACTCTCCAGAGCAGAGCCAGAGCTGTTTCAGGGAAAAAAGAGGGGAGGTCTTCCTGATTTGGAATCCAGATCAAGCCTTGCTGGGCCAGCCCTCCACATTTTTCATTGTTTTTAAGAGGGATCCCGAGAGCCTTTAGATGGTTTCAGAAGATACTTCTTAAAAGACCATCTGTAGCGACACACGCCTTATTTTGACAACACCCTTCTTGCAAACTCTGAGCCCAGTCACGTCACAGCAACTGGGTCAAAAAGACATGTAGGTGAGCAATGTAAACAGTGAAAACAAACAACAGCCAGTGATCCTTCTAGACTGAAATCTGATGGATGCTAATTCCAGTAGTTGACCTGACAAAGCTATTTGTCTCGTCTTACAACAAGTAAACCACAAACTGAAACCCAAAAATGGACTAGGAAAATCTTAGTCAATGAAATACGTGTCTATATCCCTCACTTGTCAGGAATTTAAAAAGGAATTACAAATAAACACAAGTGCACATCTCAACTGCCTTCAAATATATGTAAGAAGAGGAAAGAATTCAGCAACTGCTCTGAGCATTTTATCTCCTGGCACATTATCTTCAAAAGACCAAAACATGCCGATCCTATTCATGCTCAAGAAATACAACCGTGCTTCTTATGTAATTATGAGACAGTATCTCTTTCAGAGCAAAATGCCCTACAGCTGTCACTATTTACAATTCAAATGGAAGAACTTCTGCTGCCAGCAAACCAAACTTTTATTAGTATTAGTGAGAGTGATTCAAAGAATGCATCAATTGTCTTGACAAGACAAATTGTCTATGACTAAAGAGAAACTAAAGAGAATCAATGGACCTAAGATGATTCAAAAGCAGGTTACTGTTTTTTTTTTTAAGAAAATAGAAGTTAATCTAATATTCAGAAAAGAAATTTCTTAAGTTGCATTTGTTAGCAAAAGGTCATGATGAAATTCAGAATTCTTAGATTTTTGATCCTTCAGTTTATATCCTCTGCGTAAAGCAACGAGGATTTTTAAAAGGCTCTTTAAGTGGAAGAAGCTTCTGTTTAGACGCCCCCAATACTAAGGTTACAATTTTTGTTTTTCTCCTCAACCTACCCGAGTTGTGCCCTTTCATTAACATTCGGAAGGTGAGGGGCTGAAGCAGAGTTTTCTCTCTGCTGCTCTTAACAGTGATACTGGACTGGCTTCACATGCCTGGAGAAATAAAACCTACGAAAGGCCATCAACCTGCCTGGAACACTCAGGAAATGAACCACAGGCTCCTGGGGCAGGTTTCTTTCCCCTCCTCCCTCTCGCTGACAAACCCTTCCTGGATTTCCTGGATTCCCTGCCCACCGCAAGAGTGTGGTTTGGTGGCCCCCAGCCTGGCCCCTGCAGACCTCGCAGCGCTGGAATCTCTTCCGTGGGCTATGGGTCTTGCAGACCCACAGGAGCCACGTGGGGGCCTGGGGTACAGGCTCTGAGGCGGCAGAGTTGGGTCCCAAGTCAGGGTCGTCACCGGCCAGCTGAGTGGCCTTTGCATGGGAGCTTCTACGTCAGTCAAGGGGGAAGCCCCACCTCCCTCCAGCAAGGCTGATGAGGATGAACAAAGCCTGCACCATGTTCAGCATCGTGCCCGGCACAGAGAGGGGGCTCCCAAATTATCGTCATCTCTCATCTCTCATCAGGATATGAACTGTGACATTCAACTTTGTAACCCTGTATTACACGCAAGAAAAGCCCACGGTTAACCCTTAACTCGTGTTCACTAAATTGAACTGAGGAACCAGTGCCAAAGCACAAAATCACCAAAAGCTCCCACGTGAGTGACAGGGAATCTAGAGCAGCGTGGCTGCAAGCGAGGGACAAGGACCACCTAACACCTCTCTGGGCTCTGCAGTTGGTTGTCTGTGTTTCAGGACTCAGTTTCTTCTACTTCCAATGTCAAGCCAGGACCTGGGCGGCACTTCTCTGGCTGCAGACATGAAGGGAGGGAGCCAGACGGCAGAGACCAGCAGACTCCCTCCACGGGCCGTCATTTCTGCTCCGGCTCCGGGCTTCCCTTGCTCTAGCGCTCGGACAGCTTCCTTCAGAAGAACATTTGTCTGTCTCTTCAGTTAGGTGGCACGCACTCACTGTCACTCATTCCCACCCAATCCGCTGTGCACAGGATCCAGGGTAGTTTACAACAACAGCAAACTCACACACAAAAATGGAACATCACAACCAGGGGATTTGGAGGAGTATATTTTCAGATGAAAAGTGAAAACACAACCGCAATAGATCACATCTCAGTGCCAGAGATCCCAAACGGCTTGTCTTAAGGAAACATAAACGTAACGCTCAATGCATATATTTAACTCTTTTTGTGCCTGAAATAAGAGGCTGTAGACAGGAATATCTGCAGTTTAAAGAGGTTCTGTTTGCAGTGTTATTTACTCCAACTGGATGCCTGGCACTGAAAGGCCTGCTGGCAATTTCGGATTCACACTACAGAGCTGGTTAACAAATTAAGTCCTCTGGCCCACGTGGGTCATGGCCGACCACCCGGCTTCAGTGTCGAATGACCATTCACCGTGAGTACATTTAGGCTCTGTCATCCTGGGTAACAGGCACATCAAAAACTCCCATCTACAAATGTCGAATTTTGATATAGGTAAACAATCCAAGATGTATTAAGTTTTCTTCCAATGCAGTAGAGAATTATTTGTTTATTACAAGCGTATACTGACAACACACTGAGGATTTAATAAAATACTTCCAGGATAAAACAGATCAATTTCTTCTTTCTCCAATATTACCTCTTCCCTCCAAAGTGCTTTAATTTTAACCAATTTTATCTTTAATCTGAATCCCTCTGTCTCACACTTCATGAATTAAAAACAGAAAAAAACTCAACTTTTTTTTTTTTTTCTAAAATGATTTACCTTCGGTCATGCAGAAGACTCGGAGAAAAGCCAGAAGTTGGGCAGAGATGGGTGGTTCCGTAAAATGCAATGCAAAGACACTGGAGCTGACGAGAGGAAGAAGAGAGATCAGCCCCTGCTGCAGTGGCCTCCTCGCCCCACAGTGAAATCTCTGAATCTGCACTCCGTGTGGTCCTCAGGGAGCCTGGGCCAGCATGAGGGACCCCACCTCCTCACCAGAACCCTAAAAACAGAATTTTCAGCCCTGGCGAAATGTGGAAGGCCTGGGCTGGCCGAGGAGGGTGGCAGTAACCATCACTGCCTGCAGTTCTTAGTCTAATAGCCTTCATCTCGGGTGCACACAACATATCAGGAGAATTAAGCATACCCATGGCTCCTAAGAAAGGTTAACAATAATTTATGTTGAGTTCACATTTTAATCATTAATCAAATATTGACAAGTTCAATAAGAAAAGGTCTAGATAATCCATTTTCATTAAGAATGGTTCTCTCTACTCCCTGGAGAACCAATAAATCATAATTCTTGTCCTTATCATTTTGCACCTCAAATGCAAGAAAATCTTAAGATTTGATTTAACCAGAAATTCTTGAAATCACTGAGTATCATGACTTCATTACAGAAACTAATGGTGGCAAAGAATTAAATGAAACAAATTGATCCAGGTCATTAACCTTTTCAAGGTGAAAGGCATTAATGACATGGAGGCACTTATTTAACTAAACGAGGATATCAGGCCACATCCCCTAGAACCGGCTGTGGACGCTTCGGAACGACACAATTATGTTGATCTGAAAAACGCTGGTAAATCACCATGCATCTCAACGGTTTAAATTTGCAGTATAATAGGGATAAAGGGATTAAGACAAACTACAGTAGAGAAGTTTTATTAACACACCAGTTAAACACTACGCGACTGGAAATATTTCAAGTACCACAGTAAAGAGCTGACAGATTTTTTTCTACGTACGTTGGGATGCCAGCGCGAGCCAGGACCTCGGCCTTCATGGCGTACAGCCTGTCACTTTTACTCACTCCAAGCTTTATTTTCACTCTGTCGTGTGAATTATTGTCAAAGAAAAAACCACTGTGGATCACAAACTCTGCATTTGACCGAGTGCCATAAAAAATGTAAATCTGAGATGCAGTAAAGAAAAAATAAAGGGATATAAAAGAAACTTAACATCCATTCTCAGTACAGAGCAGGGCAAAGGATCAGTTCTCATATATTTAACGCGACTTCACACTAAGGAGACAAACAGCTCTGAGGTGACCATGTCCCTGTTCTGAACATCATGTGCTGCCAGGCGGGGATGGGTGGGCTGAGGAGAGCACAGGCAGACCTCCTAGCACCCAGAGCAGCCGGACCCCGTTGTCCCAGCCTTTCTCATACCCCCGCGCACTCCCAGTCACAGTGAGACTGCTGCTTTACGACTGCACTTTAAAATTCACCATGTTCTTTTCTCCCTCTCCTTTACTACAAGAGCATCTCCTGGAACCAGGGTTTAAGGCAATGTCTGTCAGAAATCCACTTCTAGATGCTGCGGCCATTCTGCACGTAGCAGGAGGGTTTATGAACTGTCTCCAGGCACTTTGTTAGGCTAGTATTTTTCATTTTTATTGACAAGTTCAATAAAAAAAGGTCTAGATAATCCATTTTCATTAAGAATGGTTCTCTCTACTCCCTGCTCGAACGTCCCAGCTCGAACGTCAGTGGTCTGTGTCAGTTCTTTTTGTGTTCCCTGCTTGGTCGCAGGACGGCCAGGCAGAGTGCAGGTGTCCATTCGTGCACATGTTCAAACTTACTGAAAGGCTCAACCCCACCCCAAATATTACTTAAAACTTCACAGATTAAAGTGGAAGTACAAGAAGACAGCTCTTGTGGTTTCTGATTCCCTTATGGTTTTGCTGCTTAAATAAACTGCCTCCTTTTAAAGAAGGTTCTAATCAACAGAAAAAGATACGAAAACAATGCAGTTTATACAATCGAAAAATCTGTTCTACTATCGTAACACAGAATTTATTTTCAGTTGACGGTGTTACACACAGTAGATGGGTTGTGCAAATAACTGCGTTCACATCTTTCTCCCTGGTGGATCCAAAGGTCCCATTCAAAGCACAGCATATTTATTACGGCTTTGGGTCTCAATATGTATTCCAGAAAACAAGCCTTAAATACAAATCTCAAAATTTTCTGCCCAAGTTAAATACTTTTTAAAAATGATCAACACAGTTTTGAGGTGAGGGACTCCGCGCGGAACCCACCTGCTCTCCGGCACGGAAGTCCTGCAGGGCTACACACTCACAGCGGTCGTCCTCCAGGTTGTAGCCAGTGGTGATCTGTACACGGGAGGAAGGATGACAGGACAGCATCTAAGTGCTCTCGCTCAGGAGGGCCTTTTTTCGGCAATTAGAGGATAAAAGACACGCAAAGCTTCTTAAAGGGGTGCATTCTGCTTGCTTCACCAAACTGAGCAAAGAACTGCTTGGTTATTTTCATTAATTCTACTCACACCAGAAATCCTTATGGAAGACCCCGTACCTGCAGTGAGGGACATACTCTTCGGAAAATGTATTGTATAGGTTATCCCTTGCTGGTCTCAACCAAACATAACCATTAATTACAAAGTTACAGGCTTTGAGCTCATCCCCACCCCCGGCCATCTCCAACCACCCACCCACCCACAGGACCTGCGCTCCCACAAGTAGGGAAGCGGGATCTCTGGAGAACTCGAACTGACTTGCAAACAGCGTCTTTAGTATCTGGCCATTAAGAACACAAGGCGGGGGCTTCCCTGGTGGCGCAGTGGTTGAGAGTCTGCCTGCCGATGCAGGGGACATGGGTTCGTGCCCTGGTCCGGGAAGATCCCACATGCCACGGAGCGGCTGGGCCCGTGAGCCATGACCGCTGAGCCTGCGCGTCCGGAGCCTGTGCTCCGCAACGGGAGAGG